CCAAACGTATGAAAACCACCGGTCACTTGCTCTAAGACCCATACTGAGCCACACATTGGCAAATGGTTAACCCAGGCGATGAGGGTTGGGTATATATCGATGAACTCAAAGCAGGAGGTGGGATCAGAGGGTGGGAACAAGAGAGAAAGAAGGAGGTGGTCCTGGAGAGTAAGCCTCCGGACCATTGGATATCCCCATACTCAGTTGAAGAACACTTGGGCACACAGCATGACCACCCAGACCCCCCCACCTCGGGACAGATGCAGGAACCTCGACCAGAGGTTTTCTTTAAAGGAACAGAAGTAAAGGGAATATGGCAGGAAGTCCCCCCCCCAAAAAAAACTCGCAAAAGCATCAAAACTGGTCCCTGCGTATCGGAAACAAAGTTTAGGGAATGGGATTAAGAAAACTACGGTTCGGGATGCCGACCTCTTTGCGGCGTTGGAAATGAAGGGATGGGAGCAAGTTGCGCCGCAAAAGGAAAAAGTGGATGGGGGGGGACGTCACAAGGGGGTACGATTGGTCTCCAGCAGGAGACAAGGGAACAACTGGGTGGTGCAGAAAGGGGAATCAAGGGACAAGGACAAGTTGCACAACAAGGGGATGTAGCAGATGGGGGCGGTGATACAGGGAGGCAAGGGTGAGTCTCAACTGCTGAATTTCCTGAGCAATTGTTTCATCATTTTCATTATTATTTGAATTATTTTTAAGTAATTGTAATTCGTGAATACGTTGGTAGAGTCTTGATTCATTGGAATGGCGTTCTACTGCCAAAAGCTTCGAGTATTCATTGCATTTACAACCTAGGAACACTAGACCGTTGTTGAACCACTTGATGTTATCATGAATGAGATTCTTCTGTTGATGCCAATAGCCCCAAACATCCTTGAGATAAAATTTAAATCTTTCTATTTTTAGTAGAGATGTGTTTAATTTGTAGTAACCTCTGCCCTGGTCTGGCTTTTTGGAAAAGGATAGGAGGACTGTACACATAGCGTGGTCTAGGCCTGGAAGAGGACTTCTGGGGAAAATTTTAGTTGTTTGTACTGCACCCCCCAGATCTTCGGAGAGAAGGATCAAGTCAATCCTTGATTTAGAAACTGTCATAGACTGATTTTTTCTAAAGCATGAGAAGATACGAAGTGTAGGGTTAAGTCTTCTAAATGAATCAAAGAGGTTGAAGGTTTGAGTGAGATTAGTCATCATGGCTTCGTCTGCTGCCACGTAATCCGGGCATGGGTCCGGAATGCGTCAGCGATCCAAGGAACGATCTGGGGCAGCATTAAAGTCGCCTGCTATGATTACTGGGATCCCAATAGGAAGCTTAGGAATGAGAGAACCGAAGAAACGTTGTCGGTTTCCTGCTTCATTAGGTCCATAAACACATAAAACGACCACGATCTCTAGGTCTAACATCGCAAGTATGTATGTCCATCTTCCTTCCTCTTTATCAACTTCCCAGTAGACAGGATCTACTTTGGATCCTGGCGGGATCCAAATCGCCACACCAGCACTACCAGGACGCGGTGCATGGGTCCGGAAAGCAGTGTGGGGCCAGATGTGTCTGTGGCAATGATCATGGGCGACCGAGTCCAGTAGCTGGGTTTCCTGAATACATATAACATCTGGTCATTCCCTTCCTCCTATTCCTTGAAGTTGATCGTAGATTGCTTGTCTCTTTTCAAAATTAGCTGAAGCCAGACCATTAACGTTGAGTGACCTCAAGTCTAGGTCTGTCTGCCTTTTGGTAGCTTTCCATGTTTTATCTCTATTGTACAGGGCGTCAATTAATCGATATTTATCCATTGATTCAGCAAAAAAAACGACTAACCCATTATAAGATTAATAAGATTAATTGATAAATTAGATATGTGAGTTATTTTTCAGGTCTACCCACTGACCTACGTCCAGTGGTCCATGAGAAGGTCTTGGTTAAGCCAGAAGGTCTTGGTTAAGCCATCTCAGCTTTGTTTGCTTATTGGCCTCATACCTGAGTAAGACGTCCCAATCTGCCAGGCCCTGTTCTCCTCCCTTTAAGACCAAGGATGCAGTGCCACCAGGGGGGAGGAGCTTTTTGATAACTTTATATATTTCCTGCCTGATGAGAGGTTTCCCTGCTAGCCGCCCTGCATCAGTGGCAGGTGACAGAAAGGGGGATATGGTTCTCAAAATAGTAACTTCTCCATATATTGTCTCATGGGGCTCGGACAATCCCACTTCCCAGATTTCGTATTTCCGTCTAACTGGAAGAAGGACAATTCCAGTCTTTGCAGGCAGTAAAAGCCCTTGGCCTTTCGCCAACCGGTGCTTCAGTCTTTGCCTCTTAGAGGTGAGCTCAGATTCCAGAGGAGGAGGTAGTAGAGTGGGGTGAGGCAAATCAGTGGGTCCTGGCAGATAACTTTCCGGGAGATCCTCAGTGAGATCCACCACTTGTGAACTTTGTTGCTCTGCATGGAAAACCTTATGGATCCTTCCAACCGAGGAGGAGCCATGAAAACCATATCTCTGTTCCCATTTCCACAGTCCTTTTCATTTATGAGATCACTGGTTTCTGACTCAGTTGTCTTACTGCAGATAGTAGATGCCTGGGCAGACTCGTTGCCTGAGGCGTTCTTATCTAGTTCATCCAAACCATTTGTGAAACAGGTATCTATACTGCTTCCCCCCCTTTTAATCACGAGGGGGAGAGGCTGAACAGATGCGTGCTCGGTCTCAATAAATGGCTCAGACTCAGTAGCGATGGTCGACAAAACCGGATGTGGGATCACAGACCTTGGGTCCCACTCAATCAACCCTTGACTATGTTTCTCAGGGGTGGCTGAGCGGGACTGATAATTGATGAGCAGGATTTTTTTTTCCCCGGTGAGGGTAGATACAATTTCTTTGAAACCGGATGGGTTACTATTCCCTGATGGGCACTGCGACAATGGCTGCCGTAGTTGATTGTCATTACCAGGATCCCTATCATCAACTTCAGCCACTTCCTTCATATGTGTGTGGGGGGGATCGGATCCAGAAAAATGGGTGGGAACCACTGGCATATTTCCCCCAATTTCTTTGAAACAGGATGGGTTACTATTCCCTGATGGGCATTGCGACAATGGCTGCCGCAACTGATTCTCATTACCAGGATCCCTCCCCGTATCATCAAGTTCAGTCACTTCCTTCATATATGGGGGGGGGGGGACCGGATCCAGAAAAATGAGTGGGAACAACTGACATATTTCCCCCAACAATCTGAGTGGAATCAACGTGGATATTTCCCTCAGCAGACAGTGATCTCGAAGAGACAATTGTGAGTAACTTGGAACTGATATCTTCCCACGATAAACCACTAATCGGACCTTGTTTCAAAAAGGAAATTAGACTTTCACTATTCTCCAGAAGGATGATTTGTTCGTCGAAAATTTGAGATCAGTGAACAGTTGTTAATTAAGGATGATTCTCTTTCAAATGATACAAAAACCAATCCGCAATTTTACATACTGTCGAATTATGGTCCACTGTTAACGACGACATGTTGTCCGAGTTCAGGGAAGGGGGAGGCATAGAGGCATGAAAAATTTCAATTTCCATTAGATCGGACACGAAAGCAATCTTGAAGGGGTCTATCTCCATAGGGACTACATCAGTCTCTGGAGAGGATATTACATTTTCTGGAGACTCATCCTTCTTCCCACCTTTCCTCTCGCTTTCCTCACCTGTGTTAATCACTGCGCCTGTATTCTGCTTAGTTATTGCATTCTGGTCAGTGCTCTAAGGACCTTTCCTTTTGACCACCCGCCATTCTGAAGTTGAAATGTTCTTTGGTATGTAGTCCCTCGCGTTAGGACCCAGAGAGAATCCAGCACCCAATGAGCCAGTGGAGGGTACAGGGGAATTCGATTTCAATTTCTGACTGTTTTTATTTTCCTCCATTCTCACCACTCCTCCAGAATTGAGTTTCTGGCTGTTTCCACCTCCCTCCCCTTTCTCCACTCTCTCCAATCCGCCATCCTCCCCTTTTTCACATCATTCACTTCCCTCAGACTCCATGGGGTGATTGTGACCTTCACGCTTGCTGTGCTGCATATGTTCCTTGTTTCCAGGCTTCCTTGAGCGTCCGTTTGAGGACGCTCCTTGTCTGTTTGGTTGGCCATGTGTATGCTGATGCGATTGTTGGGGGGGAATCCAATCTGCAGGAGGACGGGGTGTCTTATGGACATCACTCCTCCCTTCCCACACCCAACCCACATGTTGCCCTGAGGGATTCACATCCTCTCTATAGACCCAACCTTCATACCCTGCTACCACGGGGATCCATCTGTTAGGTCTTTGTGGGTCTCTTTTGAGTCTCAGATCCGGATGAATCGCGTGCTGAGGATGATGGGAGCAGGCGTAGTCCGTGTGAAGATGATCGTAAGCCTTGCATTTGAAACACCAAGGCCTAAACTTATGAGCAGTGTGAATCTGATGAATCCGACCCCCCATTTTGAAGAGAATTACATCATCCAGTGAGAATACGTGGTCCTTGGGGAGATCAAGGGTCAGCATCAAGTAGTCATCCCTTTTAGCAACATAGGAGGGCAAAGGATTAATGAAATCCACAATACGGTATTGCTGGCCAAAATCGTGAATGAACGCGGCCTGGATTTCAATTGGGATGTGACGCAATTCGACCCAATAATGGTCTTTCATCATTTGTTCCCTCAGTTCTTCTCAATTTATCACACGTTACATACCACAATCGTCATTTCGAATAATGTCCTCCCAAATCTCCACTAAGCTAACGCCGATTTTGTCGCGATGCGACATGTCAATCGTCAGGATGAGGATGGGTCCGGACTCCCCTGCCGCGATGAAGTTCATAATGGGCCTGTTTGTCGTATCAGTTGCCCCGTCCGTCATCAACGTGCAGCCATAAGTAGCCCACTTTGCCTTCTTAGGGGCAATGAGGGTTGCGACCTAATGGAAGATAATATCTAACAACCCCCTCATACTAGAGGAGTCGTGGAACTGGTACTATCGTGGGACGGAATAGAGTGCATATGTAATCCCACAACTGCTGCGTCTCAGCCAACCGCAGCTAGTTGAAGGCCGCTCCGCCACGATAGATAGCGAGGGCCCACAACGATCAAGATCTATCTGGATCTTGTTCCCTATATGGAGATCCAAAGTCGACTGCCCCCTCGACACTATGGATGTGGAGGCGGGGACTCTACTAACACTACATCCACCTGTTTGATAAGCGTCACCCACACCTTCGACACCTCCTCCTCCACAGGGTAACGCGTCCTCAAAACCTGTAGGTTGTGTCGCCTCATGCCCTACCACCACGCCAATGATCTAGATCCAAATCGTTCACCAGTCTGATTGTTCCCCCACCGACATCGCCACCATTCGCTCCTCTACCATGCAAGGGTGCCCCGGGCTATGACTACTCCGCCTCTCCACCCCCCTCCGCCTCCATGTACTGACGGAGGTCGTCCGCAGCCATATCACCCTCCACCCTCTCCTCGTACTCTGAAGCAAGGCGCTGCGAGATGGCATCATTAAGGACTGCCCCTACACTTCGCAACTTGTACAAAATCTCTGCACTCCGCCGCGGCCAGTGCGCCTTCTGCTTCGTGAAGTGCTAAACTCCACGAGACCTAGAACCAGTGAAAACCTCTTGGCATAGGCGGCAACGGATAAGGAAGTTGCCGCCGCCTTCCTTCCCCCACTCCTGGCCCCTCTCAACCCACTCCCAAACTACAGGACCGCGCCTTAAGTCATCTTGCTTGTGCTTGGGTGCAGGCTCAAATGGTGGTAGCGGGGTCCCTCTACGCCGTGTACTGGCGGATCGCCGGATACCATAGCTCGCAAAAGGTGATGGTGGTGCGGTGCTAGAAGCGATTGACCAACGACTACTGTCTGCAACTGTGCACTCCTGGCGACGCACGACTGTTGGTCTTGGACTCTGCAAAGCACCGACTGGTTTGTATCAGCTGCATGAAAAAAAAAAAAAAAAAAAAAGAAGGGCAAACAATTGCAAATGGCATCGTATAGGGATGAAATGTTTGTTGATTCAGTAATGTAATGTTAGTTCCTTAAACTTTATCATTTCCTCCTCCATCTGCTACTCCTCCTGCCTCCGTATTCTCTTTCATGTCCTCCACGTCCATCCCCTGGTCCTCCATCTCCACCTCCTTCATTTGTTCCTGCATATGCTCCTCCACCATCTACTCCTTCTCCATGTCCTCCTCCACCATCTACTCCTCCTCCATGTCCTCCATGCTCCTCCACCATCTACTCCTCCTCCATGTCCTCCACCATGTACTCCTCCATGTCCTCCCCCACCATCTACTCCTCCTCCACCATTCTCCATGCTCCTCCACCATCTAGTCCTCCTCCATTTCCTCCACCATTTACTCCTCCATGTCCTCCTCCACCGTCTTCTCCTCCTCCATGTCCTCCATGCTCCTCCACCATCCACTTCTCCATATCCACCACCATCTACTCCTCCTCCATGTCCTCCTCCATCTCGTTCCACAACTCCTCTATCTCCTCCTCCATCTCTTCCTCCTTCATCTTGTCCTCCATCTCCTACCCCCCCTCCTCCATTTTCTCCTCCTCCTTCCCCTACTTTTCCTCGTCTATGTTGTCCTCTTCCTCTGTCTCCTCCTCCAACTCCTCGTCCATCTCCTCCTCCCCCATCTTCTCCTCCTGCATCTTCTTCTCCTACATCTCCTACTCCATTTTCTCCTCCTCCTCCATCTCCTACTCCATTTTCTCCTCCTCCTCCATCTCCTACCGCACCTCCTGTATCTCCTTCTCCATCTCTTCCTCCTCCATCTTCTCCTCCTCCATCTTGTACCCCTCCTCCATTTTCTCCTCGATCCCCTCCTCCTCCTCCTCTATATCGTCCTCTTCCTCTCTCTCAACCCTTATCTCCTTCGCCATCTCCTCCACTTCCTCCATCTTCTCCCCCCCCATCTTGTTCTCATACATCTCTTATTCCTTCTCTAGTTTGTCCTCCTCCATCTCCTCCTCCCCCTATCTCGCGGGCGGAGGTGGGCAGAGGCAGGCGGAGGCGAGCGAAGGTGGGTGGAGGCGGGCGGAGGAGGTGGCGGGCGGAGGCGGGCGGAGGCGGGGGGAGGAGGTGGCGGGCGGAGGCGGGCGGAGGCGGAAGCGGGCGGAAGAAGAAGAAGAAGAAGAAGAAGAAGAAGAAGAAGTAGATTGATCGATTGATTGGAGGCGGGTGATGGCGGAGGAGGCGGGTAGGACGCCTCATTCAATCAATCGATCTCGACGGATTGATTGATTGATTGATTGTATGGGGCGGAGGACGACGGAGGAGGCGGCCTGCGGAGGCGAGCGCAGGCGGGCGGAGGAGGTGGCGGGCGAAGGCAGATGGAGGCGG